TCGCCTGCAAGAAGAGGAGCCGAGCAAATCCGGCCGGTGTTAAATTTCACCGCTCACTGACTTGCAGTGACATCACCCAACGCAGCGCACACCTGCCTCCTCGCGACGTGCGCGTCCCCACGCCCCGCCGCTGCGGCCCCCGGGGTGAGGGTCCCCCCCCCCGCGCGTGTCGCTCCACCCTCTTCCCACACACCTTCTGGAATCACCCTTGGCTCGGCGGAGTCCTTCCTGGCCCTCTGACTTGATTGTTTTCCTTTGCAGCTACACGAGGGGCCCAGGTCGTATGAACTGACTGTGCCCGCTCTCGCTTTACCCTTTCCGCCTGTCCCCCTGACTGCGTTCGAATGACTCGTCTCCTGTAATGCACCTTCCTACTTTCGGCCCTTCTGCAGCCTGCAAGCGTGGACTTAAGTCCACGGCCAAGAGCACACCACACTCACACACGCACTCACACACCACCGCCTTACCGAGCTGAAACGGATTTTGAAGCAAGTTTGGAAACAAAGTTTATTTATTTATTTTTTTGACAGGTCTCAATCCCCGCCCCCCACAGCCTTATCATACTGAGAAGTCCACCTTCTTCTGATTTTTGCAAAAGCCAACAAACAAGCAAACAAACCCACAACGAAAGTTCTTATTTTTATCTTCTCTATTAAAAATACGGGAAACTCCAGGAGGCCAGGAATCTATTATCTTGCTTATTGTTGTATTTTGAGCCCTAAATACTTACCTGGCGTGTCTGTTGAATGAGTGATCGCTGTAGAACGCTGGGCATCAATTCCCTAAACTTTGCTTGTCTGTTCTGTGGGCCATCCACAACTGATGACTAGTGTTGAAAGGGATCCCGCATTTTGCACACAGTATAAAAGGTAACGTGACCGTATTAGTGAATGCAAATGATTGCTGTGACTCTTGAGCTTGGCGATTTTCTAATGCAAGATTATAGAATTTAATTCATCTTCTCCTTCCTCGGTGTCTCAACTTTTTATTTTGAAATAATTTTAGCTTTCTAGAAAGTTTGCAAAGACAGTAGAGCTTCGGTATATCCCTACCCCAGCTTCTCCTAATATTGACGTCTTACATAACTAAATTAGAATCCTCAAAAGCAAGCAATTAACACCAATGCAATGCTAAATACTAATCGATAAATCGTATTTAATTTGTGTCAGTTTTTCCATTAATGTCCTTTATCTTGTCCAGGATTCTACCCAGGATTCTGTAATATGTTTAATTAATTAACACAGTGATTAATTGAATGGTTAGGTCTCCTTAGACTTCTCCCATCTGTGGCAGTCTTGTCTTCTTTTGTCTTTTAAGACCTTGGCACTTTTGAAGAACTCTAAAGCAGTCGTTTTGTAGGAGGTCTCTCAATTGGGGGTTTGTGTGCTGTAGTCTTGTGATTATGTTTAAGTCATGCATTCTGGGCATAAATATCACGGAAGTGATGTTGTGTCCTTCTCAGGGCATCATCTGGGGTGTAAATGGTGTTGATATATCTCATACTAATGATGTTATCTTTGATCACTTAGTTAAGGTACCCACCCTCCAGGTCTTGACACTATAAAATCTCCCCAGAATTTTTGTAACAAAAAAAATCATAGTTTTCTGAAATCCTCCTAGACATGCTTGGCTGAGGGAGATAGTCATTCTTAAATGGACTTAAACTCTTGTTTTTCTGCTTTTTACTGCCAATTAAAGGGACATAGCTAATTTGGAAATAATAATAGATGATAAATTAGCAGATCTTCAGTAATTCATTTTATCTCTGTGCCCATTGTTCCAACAGTTACTTAAAGGGTAAAAAAAAAAATTTCTATTCACAATATTGAATGAATAATGGAATGTTGAATGAAATGAAGCTATTGAAATGTACCTTGGGTTTTTTGAGTATATGAAGATAATAATTACTAGTCGGAGTTAATGGAGACCTTATCATGCAGAAGATGCCACAAAGTGCACATACCCACATGTGGGGTATATTTATTTGGAGAGAGGAGACATTTGCTCAAGTAAAAGATAACAGTGTCAGATTTAAATGCTGCCAGGCGCGGTGGCTCAAGCTTGTAATCCCAGCACTTTGGGAAGCTGAGGTGAGGGGACTGCCTGAGCCCATGAGTTGGAGAACAGCCTGGGCAACATGGCGAGACCTTGTCTCTACAATAAATCAAACAATTAGCCGGGCATGGTAGCACACACCTGTACTTCTGGCTACTTGGAGGGCTGAGGTAGAGGAATCGAAGAATCGCCTGAGCCCAGCAGGTTGATGCTGGGGTGACCATGAGTGTGCCTCTGCACTCCAGCCTGGGTGATGCAGTGAGACTCCAACTCAAAACAAACAAATAAACAAAAAAGATTTAAATGCTCCTGATCAGGGGTCCTCAATCCCCAGGGCTGCCAGCCATACTAGTCAGTGGCCTGTTAGGAGGCCACAGCAAGAGGTGAGTGGCCATTGAGCTCACTGACCTCATCTGTTTACAGTCAGATCAGCTGCGGCATTAGATTCTCATAGGAGCACATTACAAACCCTAATGTAAACCGCACATGCAAGGGATATAGGTTGCGCACTCCTTATGGCAATCTAGTGGCTGACGATCTGTGGTGGAACTGAGGTGGTGAGGCTAGGCTGCAAATACAGACTAACATTAGCAGTGAGATTTGACTGCACATTTACCTTCCCGCTTTTGCAAGTCCCCCAACCTGTCTCCCTCCTTAGCCTCCCCATCCCCATTTGTAGAAAAATTGTCTTCCATGAAAATGGTTCTTTTTGCCCAAAAGGTTGGGGACCAGTGCTATAGACTTTATGAGATGATGAAGACTTGCTCAGATCAAGTTGATCAAGACAGATTATCCAGAGACTTTGGGACTTAGCTGGTCACAAAGTGCAAAAAGGATTTACACAGGCGGATAGGAGAAAGACACTTTGGCTGGAAGCAGAGAGTACAAGACTAATGGCAAACAGACCAAGAGGAAGATATCTAAATTATATTTAGGGGCAAAGAACAGATTCATCAGCCTGGATTAGTTAGAGGTTTGTGTACTGGAAGCGACATCGAGAAGAGACTATAGAAGTCGTTGAATGCCAGAATAAGGGCTCACTCAGTTGCTCAACAAACATTTATCATGTAACATACTATGTGCCAAGAACTCTTCTAGGCACTGAGTTATATTGGTGAACAAAATACATGAAAATTCTTCCCTTTAGGGGTTGGCATTCTACTGTTCAAGATTTACTCCTATAGACAATAGGAAACTAAGTCAAGATTCCCAATCTGATAAATTATTATATTCCAAATTCCCATTTTAAAATTAGTCAGCAAATTGTACTCCACATATTTTTTTTTTAAAGATGCGGAGTACAATTCAGGATTAGGTATACAAGTAATCATCATACAGGTAGACTTTGGGCCTCCCTTTGGTCCCCACTTTGCCTGGTTTGAGATCAGGTACCCTTATTGATGTAGTGTGCCCCCCGTCTCCCTTCCCTGGCAGTATCCTCCTATTTCCAATCCCTTTCTTATAGTATTATGGTAAATATTTAGGGTCTGCTTATGTATGAGAACATGTAGTACTCTTATTTGTTTCTGTAATAGATCACTGAATATGATAGACTCAATCCATTCAATTTACTGCAAAATCCATAATTTTGTCCTTCTTTGTGACTATGTAATACTCCATTGTGTATCTGTACCACATTTTAAAAATCAAGTCCAGTTTCTATGGGCAGCATGGTTGGTTCCACTTTTTCGCCATTGTAAATAGTGCTGCAATAAATATGTATGTGCAGGAATCTTTTTTGTAGAGTGATTTAAGTTCCTCCTGGTTTATTCCCAGAAGGGGGATTGTTGGGTTGTATGGGAGGTCAATTTTTAGTTCTTTTAGGAATTGTCATCCTGTTTTCCATAGAGATTGAACTAGTTTGCATTCCCACCAACAATGTAGAAGCATTTCCTTTTCTCTGCATCCTCACCAGCATCTGTTGTTTTGTTGTTTTATTAATGATGGCTATTCTTACTGGAGTTAGGTGGTATCTCAATGTGGTTTTGATCTGCATTTCTCTGATGACCAGTAAGGCTGAGCATTTATTTTTCATGTGTCTATTGGCTGCCTATATGTTTTATTTTGAGAAGTGTCTATTCATGTCTTTTGCCCACTTTTTAATGGGACTGTTTGTTTTTTCCTTTATCATATTTGAGTGCCTTATAGATCCTGGATGTTAGGCCTTTGTCAAATATGCAGTTGGCAAATATTTTTTCCCATTCTGTAGGCAGTCTCCCTGCTCTTTTGCTTTATAGAGACTCTTCAGTTTGATGAGGTCCCACTTGTCTGTTTTATTTCTTATATATGGGCACTTAGGGTTTTGATCAGGAATTGGTTGCCAGTTCCAATTTCCATAAGGGTGTCTCCTGCATTTTCTAAGATTCTTAAAGTTTGGGGTTTTACATTTAGGTCTTTGATCCATTTGGAGTTGATTTTTGTGTATGGTGATAGATAGAGGTCCTGTTTTATTCTTCTGCATGTGGCCAGCCAGTTTTCCCAGTACCATTTACTGAATAGGTGCTCCTCTCCCCAGTGGTTTGTGTTGGAGGCTTTGTCAAAGATGAGTTGGTTGAGAAATTGAGGTTTTGCTCCTGGAATCTCTGTCCTATTCCATTGGTCTATATGCCTGTTCTTGTACCAATACCAGGTTGTTTTG